GCGCCCCCCCCCCTCCACCCTCCCTGGTTTGTGTTTGGTTTTTTTGGGACATCTGGGAGCTGTCCCTTGGAGGGGGGGTACTGTCATGGTGTGGGTTTTATTTTTGTATTTGTGTTTTATTTTGACTTTGTTCTCTGTGGTTTTGGTTTTAGTTGTACTTCCTGTCCTGTTTGCCCCTGTCTTGATTGTCTGCCCCGCCCTGATGTGTTTCACCTGTGTCTCTGTGTGTCTATATGTACCCTGTGCTTCTCTCCCCTTGTTGCTAGTCCATTGTCTTGTCAACGTCCTGTCTTGTCTTGTTCATGTCGCTGTCTGTTTCCGTCCTGTTCCTGGTCCTGTTTTGGTTTTGGATTTTGAGTTGGTTTCATCTGGACTTTTTTATCATTAAACCCTTATTTTTGGCATTCCTGCAATTTTGGGTCTTCATTCACTTCATCACGGGACACCTTTGTTCAAACGTTTTTGCTTGGTCTTCACAAAGTTTTTTTACACACTGTTTTCACGGTGTTTTGGCCCATTCCTTACAGATTACAGACATCATGTTTTGGTGGCTGACAATAGACTTTGTGGCAGCACTGCACTATTGAATGGTGACGATCAAAGCAGTCTTGAATCTATTTTGACAATACAATCATTTCTAAAAAATGATCCACAAACTCTGCACTGATCTAATCACATGTATATTCCTGCACTTGCTCTTGTCGGCTCTCTGCTGTTCACATAAACACATCGGGAAGCAGGAATGTGTGTTACGCCATCTGCTCTGGAGATCACACCAGATGTGTCCAAATGCCTTTCAACCTCAGGGGGCGCTCTAACATAATAAAAATACACACACTGGCCTCATGGCAATGTCGGCCGAAGAGATTTAAACTGTAAACGTCAACAATCTTAAACTATCATCTCATTGCAGATTTTTTCTCCCAAACCAAGCTCTGTAATAGCAAATGTTTTTTTTCTATAGATCCATATTGCGTTCACATATATTCTTCAAAATAAAATAAACTCATCAACTCATGTCTTTCCCCCCAAAGGCTCAGGTCAGAATATAGATGGATTTGCGTTGGGTAAAGCAAAGACCAAAGGCACACCATAGCAGCATAAATCAATTTTAGTTCCTCTTATTGAACTGTAAATCTATTACGCCGTTATTTCAATCCACTCAGAGTAATTACACACAGAAATATGGATTCAGTTGCACCAGGATCATTTCATATCTTCTTGCAGTGCTGGGTTATGTTTTTCAGATAAGATTTTGATTGTAGTCTCATGATAAATATATATATTTTAGGAATTCAACAAAGCTGCCCCATGTTTAAAAACAGGCTTGCACAATATCAATCAAAAATCTTGGTTTTCTGTATAGCACGATTTGTACAACATGCAATTCAAAGTGCTTTAAATTGACAATACACATCAAAAGCCACACACTTAAGAAGCAATTTAAAAACACGATAAAACGCCCTCCCAAGATAAAACCTCATGACTATAAATAGGTCTATACAGGATAAGATTGGTATCATTGGTGACTATCAAACCGGAAAGCATACGTTTCTATAGTCTCATGGGACAAATGTAGATAGCACCGAGGTGTACAACAACTATACCATAACAGAATGAAAAACCTCTCCACTGAAAATGTATATGTTACTTTAAAGAAGACATGTGGCTGATGGCACATACTGGTTTCCTCGCTTCTGTCAGTGTGCCCCAGGGCAGCTGTGGCTACTGTAGTAGTTTATCTCCACTGTGTATGGAGTGAAAGAATAATGACATTGAAGCGTCTTTGAGTTTCTTAAAAAGTGTTGTGTAAAACTGATGAATTATTTGTGATTTTATTGCACTTGAGAGAACACAGGAAAAGCCCAAAACGTTGAGTGTGACACAAACAGTTACTGAGCGAGAGTAGTTTACTTTTGTTTGATAAAAAAAAAAGCAGACAATTTTGGCCCTTTCTTTAGGGTCAGGGTCACATCTACTATCACACATATGACATTAGCCTTGAACAAAACTTTAGTGAGTAAAACCACAAATATTTTTGTTAAGAAATACTTTGATCAGACATGCATCAAATCAAACCAATAAGTTCATGCAATATGTTTATTGTTATTGTTTTGCTGCTTTGGGAAAGTGTGGCTGTCAGAGGTGTTGCTGGATAATACTTTATACTCAACCACCATCATTAATGAAGACTGCCCCCTACTGGAGATAAGGAGTTATTTATGTAACGGTGTCTTTTGGTCTTTAGTACTTTCTGTTTGGACCTGTCTTAGTTTAGAATGTTTTATAATTTAGGATTGGGTTTTTGGCTGATTTTAGACTTGGGTTTAGGATTAAAGGAGCCCTTTATTAATCCCTACAGGGCAATTCATCCTCTGCGTCTATCTGAGTATCTATCTGGAGCAGTGGTCGCCGTAGTACAGCGTCTGGGACCATCTCCAGATGTTGGTGCTCGGCTTGGTCAGGACCGGAGCTGGAGGGTTTTTACCTATTGTGCATATATTGAGTGGTAGGGGAAACCGGAGCACCCGGAGGAAACCTTCACAGACACGGGGAGAACATGCTAACTCCACTCAGAAAGGCAGTCAGGATTGATGCCAGATAGTACTTTATACTTTACCATCCATCATCAACGAAGACTACCTCCTACTGATCTGGAGTTAGTTATGTATGTTTGGTGTGAAGACCTGGGAGATTGTCTGATATTTTAGGCTTTGGGAGTTGGGTTGGTAATGGGGCCATTGGTTTAGAAATAGATTATCAGACAATTCTTGTAGGAAAGCATCTGATTGTCTCCTAAATATGATGGGAATCAGAATTTGTCGAGTTCTTGCCTGGGGCTGTCAGGGTTGATGCCAGATATATTTTATACCATCCATCATCAATGAAGACTGCCCCCTACTGGTGAATAGGAGTTAGTTATGCACTTGTGGTGTATTAAAGTGAAGTAGTAAAGACTAAAAATCTCTGCTACTTTTTGTTCAGACCTTTGGGATTGTTTTATATTTTAGGCTTGGGGAGTTGGGTTTAGAATTAGATAATCAGACAATTCTTGTGGAAAGTCGTCTGATTGTGTCTTAAATATGAAGGGAGTTGGTCATGTTCTTGGTTCTATGTTTGGGGGACGGGGGGAGGTGATTGGGAGGGTGGGAGTTGTCATTTCTGCGTTTACGTCAGCTGCCACATGTAAATCTCATCGTCCTCCTCTTCATCAGGCATGCCAAACCACAGTTTATCTCCAGACTTGGTTAAATTACCCGTCTTTCTGAATAAAACGATCCCAGGCGGCTGTGGTTCTTGAATACTCTCTTGAGATTCAGTTTTTTCCGTTTGGACTTGAAGCTCCAGAGACTCTTCCTTGTCTTCTTCTGGGGTCCAGCTCGTTCCAAACTCCAAAGGACCATTATAGGACTCCTCAGACAATGTCAATGGTCTAATATTGGAAGAGAAAATCACTGGTTCTTTTTCTGCTTTCTTTCTCCACCTGTTTCGACTTTTCTTCTTCTGACTTTGGATCTCGGCTATCTCTGGCTTTGGCTCGTACCATTTCACCTCCACAGCAACAGGTTTGGAATCAGTTTGAGCCTGATTTGTTTGTTCAGACCCTTTTACTTTCTCAACACTAGGTCTGTCTCGTTGCTTTCTGTTTTTACCATCGTGTCCTGGGGCTTGCTGGGACCTGCTTTGCTCCACAGATCTCTCCACTCGAGGGTTGCTCACTTCAGCTTCTGGTCTTAAATGTTCCTGAGATTTTCTTTGGGATCTCCTTTGAGTAAATTCCACATTCTCAGTGGTGCAACAAGGCCCAGATCTCTGTGATTTGGAGAGTCTTGAGTTCTTGGGTCTTGAGTTGGAAGCACGTCCCTGATGAGGTGTCGGGGCCTCTTCCACTTTTTCCTGCTTTTGTTTGTTGCGCTTTCGTTTCACAACTTCCCATCCCTCTTTGTTGGCCTCCACGCTGTGATCCTCTGTGACTGGGTGCAGTGAGGTTGGGGCTGGAGCAACTGGAGCATGGCTTTCTTGAGGTTGTGTCTTTGATCCGGCCTCAAAGCTTGACTCCGACTTATTTTGAGGAACCTCCAACTTGTTAGAACTTTGGATATTTGCCTCGACCGGGTTAAAAATGTTCTGTGTTCTCACGTAAAAGTTGGATGTTTTTTGATTCCTCCTCTTTCTTGAGTTTTTGGCCATATTTTAATATTCTATACTACTCTTTACTAGTGTATTTGAGAATATATATGGATGAATAGTGTCTCTTTGTCTCTGTCTCTATGTCTCTCTGTCTCCAAACACGACTCTTGGATAACCGGGTTGATTGTTTATCCGCTATTCTGAGCTGCCTATATAAGCTTTGAACAGGGACTTCCGGAACATCGAGATGACATAGTATGACATTCCGGTTGTCATGGCAACTGCTGTCATGGCAACAGTTTACATGTGTGGGAAATTTAACTGAAAGTAGGTGCTCTTTGGTTATCCCTCCTGTCAATCACCTCGTGGAGGCGGGGCTTATCACATCACAATTTTAACAATTGAAATGGCGTTTAAATCAGAGAACAGTGCATCATGGGACCTTTAAAATCCATGACACCATATTATTTGGTTTGTGTTGCATTTTCACTTTTCATTTCAAATGAAACTTTTCAACACTGCTGCTTCTCTTTGTGGCTTGGAAACTGTTATTGGAATGTTATTAAGTTACAATTTAATGTAGTAATTTGTAATTCAAGTATGTGGCTAAAAGGCCGAGCTGTTGTGCTCTGACTCTATCACAACATTTCTCCTTGTACTGGGAAACAAGTAAAAGATTAACTATGTCTGTTTGTTGTGTGAGATTTTGTCAGGTTCAACTGTGGTTGAAACAGCATTAACAGAAACTAAGATGAAGATGAAGAGATCCTTTATTGGTCCCACGGTGGAGAAATGTCAGTGTTGCATCCACAGTTTCAATTTGGAGAGACGTGAAACAAGAAGCTTTTGCCATTGTGGTTGATTGAGTTTCACTGTGGTGCTGTTGAGGAACCCCCCCCACCCACCCCACCCCCCCCCCCCACCCCAAACCACCCACCCCAACCCACAACCCCCCCAAACCCCCACCCAACCCCAACACACACACCACACAAACCACCACACCCCACACCCACCCAAACCCCAACCACCCCCCCCACCACAAACCACCACCACCACCCCCCCCCAACCCACCCCCACCCCCACCCCACCAACAAAAACCACAACAACCACCACACACCCCCCCCCCCAAACCAACCACACCACCACCACCCCACACCACCCAACACCCACCCCCCACACCCCCACCCCCCCACCCCCCCACAACCCAAACACACACCAAAAAACCCCCCAACCAACCCCCACACAACACCCAACAACACCACCCCCCCCCCACCCCCCCCCCCCCCCAAACCACCACCACCCCCCACCCAACACCCACCCACACCACCACCCAACCCACCAACACCACCCAACCCCCCCCCCCACCCCACACACCCCACCCCACCCAAACACCCCACCACAAACCCCCACCAAACCCCCCACAACCCCAACAACCACCACACACAAACACCCCCCCCCAACACACACCCCACCACCCCCCCCCCCACACCACCCCCCCCCCCCCAACCCCCACCACCACCCCCCCCCCCCCCCACCCCCCCCCCCCAACCCCCCCCCACCCAAACCCACCCCACCCCCCCCCCACACCCCCCCCCCCCACAAAAACCCCACACCAACCAACCCCCCCCCACCCACACCACCCCCCCAACCACCCCCCCCCCCACCCCCCACCACCCCCCCACCCACCACCCCCCCCCCAACCCCCCCCCACCCCCCCCCACCCCAACCCCCCCACCCCCCCCCACACCAAAACCACCACCACCACCAACAACCCCCCCCCACCCCCAACCCAACCCCAACAACACCACCAACCCACACCACACAACCCCAAAACACAAACCCCCCCCCCCCCACCCACCCCCCCCACAACCACAACCCCAAACACCAACAACCACCCAAACCACACCCACCCCCACACAACACCCCCAAAACCCCCAAACCCCCCCCCCACCCCACCCCCCCCCCCCCCCCCCCCCCACAACCCCACCCACCCCCACCCCACCCACCCCCCCCCCCCCACCAAAAAACCCCCCCAAACAACCACACCCACCCCCCACCCACCACCCCCCCACACCCCCCCCCCCCCCCCCCACCACCCACCCACCCACCCACCCCAAACACACCACCCCCCCCCCCCCACAACCCCCCACCCACCCCACCCCACCACCCCACCCACCCACACCCCACACACCCCACCAAACCCCAACCCCCCCCCCCCCCCCCCCCCACACCCCACACACACCCCCACACCCACCCAAAACCCCCAACCCCACACCCCCCCCCCCACCTAAACCCTAAAAGAATCAAGTCATCACGTGTTTTCAAATAGTAATGGAATTGACCAGAAACCTATAGTCTACAAAAATTAATACAAATATTTTGGAGCAGACCGATAAAAATAAACCAATGTTATTCGTTCATCCCAAACGAACCAGTGGGATGCATTTACCGTTCACCCTCTTCCTGTTTCTCGCGAGTGTGCACACCGGAGTTATCAGATTTTGTAAAACCTAAAAGGGCTGAAATGAAAATGCTAGTTTCACGTTTGCCGCCTACTCTCCCTGTTGTGACAAAGAAAAGAAAATGCTGGATGTTTGGTTTGGGGAGGGGAGGGGGGGGTGGTTTCCAGTTGGTGCTACGGCTAAGCTAACAACATCGCTTACTGCACCTTTAATTCTTCCTTCTTTGTTCCGCGAGATTTTATATTATTTTAGTCTAGAGTTATTGTTCCTTTATCTTGTGCTGTGTGCTCCTCGTTCCTACTGTTCTGTAACCAGTGATACAACACTGACATTTCCTCGCTGTGGGACGAGTAAATAATCTCTTCATCTTAACATTAATTGAATCAAAACCCAAAACATCATTCAAAAATAAAGTCAAAGTATCTTCTCTGTAGTTAGACTCTGCATTTATTCACGCACACACATGGTACAATAAGGCATCACAAGACTGTATATACATAAAATACAATTCAGTTCTACGTTACTTCTCCTCCTTCATTTATGTAAACAATAAATATCTCATGAAAAGTCATGTTAATACATCCCACAGAGAGCAGAGACCACGCTGCAAAATAATGATCCAATATGAGGTCAGAGTTGCTTAAATCCAGTGGTTTTTAACTTCATCTGACACATTCTGACTGTGTTTAAACAAGATTAAAGGAGATATTTCTTGTATCTTTTTAAAACCAGATTATCTTCATCTTCAACCCTACGTTCTAGGCTAGGCTAAAACAGTCGTCTTCAGTTTAGCAGATGGTCAGGAAGGTAAGACTCAGGGAAGGCTAAACATCTTAGACTGTCAGTCAAGCTGCGTAGGGAGTCAGTTTGCTGGGAGAAGTACGGTAACTTGAGCACTATCCTCTCCTCTTTCCTACTTTATCTGTCTGCTTTATGTGTATTTTTACTCTAGTCTCTTCATTGCTATTCACCCGTTGTCCCATTGTCTGTTTCATGGTGCGACCATGGGACCTCTGGACCTGGCCTCCTCCATCTACACCTGCGGACTGCCCTGCCCGACCCGCCTGGGAGTGCCTCAGTCCTGCACCGGACCTGTCCACGTTCTGCGGCCGCTGCGTGGCCCTGGTCCACGTTCTGTCGCTTAGGTTTTGGATCTAAACCCTCAGTCCTCGTTCTACAGTCTGAGTCCTGGATCTACATCCTCAGTCCTCGTTCTACAGTCTGAGTCCTGGATCTACATCCTCAGTCCTCGTTCTACAGTCTGAGTCCTGGATCTATAGCCCGTCCGTCCGTGTGGAGCAGATCCCTCTCTCAGTATGTGGGTCTCCCCGTAGTTTCTCACTTTTCTAACACTGGTTTTTATGAGTTTTCCCTCTGATGCAGGAGTCTGTTGGAAAGTTAGTGTCCAACAAAAAGGACTGTGATGATCCAGGACACTTTAACATTCTACAACATGTGTGACATTTATTAACATGTATGACATTTATCAACATGTATGACATTTATCAACATGTATGACATTTATCAACATGTATGACTTTTATCAACATGTATGACTTTTATCAACATGTATGACATTTATCAACATGTATGACATTTATCAACATGTGTTCTGTATTCTTTCTGTGTCTTAACTAGTGATGTGCTGAGCGTGCCGGGTCTTCGAAGCGTGTACCGAGTAAAAAAGGGGCGTATTTTTTGAAGCGTGGTTCGAGGCGTGTGTTGGTGACGTATGTGGTGACGTTCGAAGCCTCGCGTAGCGGCCGCACCACGTCACGGTTCATACAGTGCTTCATATAGTTCGGAGAGTGCATTGCTTTGACAGGTGCTTTGTGATCCGCGGCTGTACCATAGACTGTATTGGCTGTCCCCGTCTGCCTCTGTGTGCGTACGTGTGTGTGCGTACGTGTGTGTGCGTGATGTGGAGCAGTCCTGTACTAAGTATAGAGAAACTACTTCATATGAAATACAATTAAAAATGTTTCACTTTAGTAAAACCTCATATATCAAGGCTTCAAGTTATTAGTAATAATACGCTGGATAATACATTTCACAACAGCTGTGTGGCGCAGTCGGTATATGACGGACTCCGAAGCAGAAGATATAGCGTTCGAATCCCGGTCTACCCATAATAAATTGTGTGTTGCAAAGTAAATGTATTTATTTATTGGGAATAAATGGTTTGTTGTGTTTAATTAATCCACCTCTTGGTAGTTTTTCCTCCATTAATCACTTTCTGTAGAACTGTATTACTTTGGATGTGTTTGTTGTATCAACACAATTGACTGAAAGACTCAAATAGTTCAGAGTTCATGAAGCATCATTTCAAACACAACACATTAGACCATAGATTGTAAATATACATTTTAACATTAGATCTCACCAGGGCCGGAGTGGGACAACATTTCAGGCCGGGAGCTTTTCATCCATTCAGGCCAAACAAGGTTCTAAATTTGGGTTTTTGTCATTGTATTTTGATGTTCTTTTAATAGTTTTAAGATTGACTGTCAAAACTTTTGTTTTCTTTATTTTTTTTTATATTGACTGTTTATATAATCTCGGACGTTTAAAGATTGTTGTACGTTGCTTAGCAACGTAACGTTTATGGAGTTTAGTGAGAATAAAGACACACACACACACACACACACACACAATGAACTAAGTGTTCATTAGTGTATAACTATAACAAGCTAATCAATTATTGTTAAAAAAGTAGTAAGGTAAAATCACATCGTTACAGCTCATATAAAAGGAAAAATAAAAACGTGTATGAACCATCAGTTGGAGAGACCACTCATTTCAACCGGGGAAGCTACACTGGGTGCACTGCTAGCAGTGGCGGCCGGCCAATAGAGGGCGCTAGGGCGCCGCCCCACCACTCACAACTTGCCATGTTACCTTGAATAAAACGTTAAAAAAAATAATAACATTAAAATATTTCGAAATTTATGTGTGTTTTATTTCAGATGTGGAAGAAATACTTTATAGTTTATGCTGAGTTGGATTGATTAAGCTCATCAACGTTGTCTGTGTCGGACTGAGGACGTATTTCCGCCTCAGGGCGCAAAAGATTGCGCCCTGAGCCGTCTATGGACTCTCGTTAAAAGTTGTACATGCGCAGTAGCTCCTCTTCAATGCAAGAGATAAGACGATTTGGGGGCGCAGGAGAAGTGCGCCCTGAGGGGGCGGGATCGCCCGCGACCTGTACTGTCACTGTCTGTGACGTCCGTTTACAGTGATTGACAGGTCAAGCTGTGGGAGTTTGAGACGAACGTAAAGAGACGCAAAATGGAGAACGAGAAAAAGAATAATTCAGTTAGATCACTCAAAACAATACCGTTTGAGAGAAGATCATACCAGGAGAAGGTTGAGGTTGAAGAGCTTGGACCTGATCAGCCAAATATTACCATTAGTCAGCAGTCCAGCGACAGGGGGAGACGGTACACTCGTACTTTTTCCAGGACCTGGTTCAGCGCCAAATCTTGGCTAGCAGCATGTAGCGAGGCTAATGCTTTATTTTGCTTTCCATGCCTCTTGTTTCAAACATCAGGATCTGACCCAGCATGGATCAAGACAAGTATGACTGATCTGAAGCACTTTTTAGAAAAGGCAAAGAAGCATGAGCAGACTGGTATCCACATGCAAAATGCCCTCAAATTAGCTATGTTTGGGAAGATAAATATTTCATCCCAGCTGGATGAAAGCTACAGGGTAGGGATCAGAAAGCACAATGAGGAGGTTGACAAGAATAGGCACATCCTATCAAAAATTCTCGTGTGAGGCTTCAGTCACAACAGACAGTGTAAACTTACTTACTGCTGGTATATATCTAGTCATCATATTCATAGCCCCCCCAGTAGAAAATTCCACCAGCCGCCACTGACTGCTAGGCTGGCCTGGCTGTGTAGCCGACGTGTGACGTCACATTTGTTTAATTTTGCTCTGGCCCAATGACAGTAAAGCTTTGGCCAGTGTTGTGCCAGTTCACAGCTTTTCTGAACTAGTTCAAGTTCAGTTCATACATGCTCAAAGTGAACAGTTCACGTTCGAAGTTCTCAATTTTAATTCTGAACTAGTTCAAATTTCAGTTCATTTTACTTTTTGCGAGATATTCAAATAAATATTTTTTTTCACTACGAGCTAGAAATCACAATACGTGGTATATATATATATTATATATATATAATTATATATTATATCCTGTACACTGCACAGGATGTTTTGACTCCAATGCAGACAAGATTTACATGGGTTTCAATGGGAACTGAGTTGTCCCATCTCTGCTCATAAGTACAAACTGTAATGCGCTGCAGAACGTGAGTCTATACTTTATGTCAAATGTAAACGGCCCTGTGTCACTGACTTACCCCTGTGTTTTCATCACGGCACATGTGAGTCCAACAACCAATGAATAGCACTAGCATATAGCCCCGCACCGCAAGTACACTGAGTCGGGGTGCGTTCACAGACGGTGGAAACCGTAGGAATTTTTATTTTTCGGCGGAAACAGTGCGGAGAATACAGGAGGGAGGAACTTTCTCTCGTTGCGTTTCAAAAGAGAAAACAGATTTCACTCAGTTTTAAATGGAAAACAAATTTTCTGCCGTTCATGACACATAATATGAACTAATTCACGTTCAAGTTCTTTATTAAAAAATGTGTTGCCTTCAGTTCAACGTTCACGAAAAAATGAGCGTGTTCATGAACGCGTTCTTTTGAACTCGTTCACGCACAACACTGGCTTTGGCCTGGGCCTTGCTCATTGGACCAGGCCACCAGGCAGGGTAGGAGTTTGCAAAGACCGTGAGGATGAAATTAAATTAAAAGAAAAAAATAAATAAATAAATAAAAAAAAAAGACCGTGATGATAGGGCAGGCCCAGGCCACTTTGACACGCAGGCCACCGGGAGATCTCCCGATGCTCCCGATGGCCAGTCCGGGCCAGGATCTCATCATTCATTGTAAGCACTTAAGAGTGTTATGTATTTTTTTGTCCACATGATGGCGTAGTGGAGCATGATTCACCTCGAGCCTTCGACTCATCGGCCGAGTAATAGGCTGCGATCCCTCAAGGCTTCATGGGGCTTCATATTGCCATCACTAGTCTTAACTGTTGATTCTCTGATCTGTGTTGGGGATTTTATTGGTTTTGTTGAGTCTCTGAGATGATACTGTTGTGATTTAGGGCTATACAAGAATAAATTGTGTTGTATTGTGTGTATTGTATTTTGCTTTGTCCCATTGGTGAATCTTGTTTAAAGCTCAGTCAGAATGTGCTCAAATTAAGATGCGTATTTCCAAATTTGAGAAATCTCTGACTTATTTTTCATCACTTTTTGCAGTGTACAGCTTCCCTGCAGCGCATCATGGTCGGATGGCTTAGAACAGCCATTCCCAAACTCAGTAACACCGAGGCCCCCTTAAAAATCTGACGGGTCTGCGTGGCCCCCCCAAAATAATAACCAAGAAGACAACATTAAAAATAGGCTCTTCTGGTTATTTTATTTAGCAAATAGCCTCTGCTACAAACATTGTAATACAAAAATGATTACAGTGGATTATTCAAGTCAAATAATGAACACAAATATTTTAATATTACAAACAAAACATTATAAATTTAACATTAAATAATTTTTTTTTTTTTTTTTTTTTTTTTTATGACCTCCCGCGGCCCCCCTGCAGTACCCTCGCGGCCCACCAGGGGGCCGCGGACCCCACTTTGGGAGACACTGGCTTAGAAAATGATCCGAACACTTTTAAAACATCAGAAAAAATGGAGGATGTTCGCTGCTGCGAACCGCTCGCAGCAGAGAACAGTTTAAGGCAGTAAGATCCATGCATCTTCAGTGATCAGAGGTTGCGTGTTTTGTTTGTTGTTGTTTTGGGGCATACTGTGACCAGTGGGGGTGGATCCCGGCTCAGACGTGGCCAAATTGACAGACGCTGACATGCTTGCAATACCACCCCGGGCCGATGGGGGTGGACCCAGAAGAAGAATTAACCAATGCTAACATATAGCATTGGCAGACCTCT